TTTGGAGACTCGCAATTTGTGCAAAGTATATAATGTTATCCAATTTATTTTGATAATCTGTTGAGTGAAATGCCAATTAGTGTCGATGTTTGTTATGTTGGTATTTGGTTTCTTATGTTGGTACATGTTCAAGGTGACGTAAAGTGTTACATTTTATGCGTAAATGTTGTAAATGAATAATTGCTTTCGATTTTTGGCGATGATAATGTTGGCAGTGGGTGTGTTTTCCTTTAATACATAGGTTGTTCTGTATGGATACTGTCAAATAATGGAAGTGCATAATTTCATCACATATTTGGCTAGGAAAATACCGACAGTTGGGGTTTATTTTTGTATGTACACAGGTTATGTGAGTGTCAGGAAATGAAACTGGAAAATGGTGCTGTATGGTTTTATTGAAGCTGCCATTGAAAAATTGCATCATTGAACACCATTTTTATATTATGATAAGTGATAGCAATGTAGCTCCCTTACCATCCTGATTGAGCGGAAAATGAATGACCATTCAATCTTAGAATTGAATTGTCTATTACACCATTTTGGGTTGAATCCATTCATGGAAACATTCTTCCGCTATTCCCATAATCCAATTCAAAACATCATGACATAACTACCTATAGAGATACACCATGCATTTTATTGTCGGAGTTGAAATGTCAATGTTCTTGTGGCGCACAATTTAATTTAGTAATTGCATAGCTCTTACTTGGGACTAAAAACCTGTCAAGTACACTCACAAGAATGACAATGTTTATTTACCAAACAACCACATCAACAATACTCTCTATCCACGTGATGAAACCATAAAAAAAAAAGGCATTACACACACTATGCATGCCATGCAATGTTCTAATACTATTCCAAATCAATACATGCATACCATTCAAACAGATTAATGTTGTAATTAGGCATTATAAAGTTTAATAAACTTCCATTAATGTAAAGTAATACAGTAAAGTTTTGGGAAACTACACATAATTCTTTAATAAAAGGATATCAAATATTTGAGAAATGATTTAGGATAAGCGAAAGATGGACGACGATGATGCTACATCGGTTCCTTGCATGTTTTCCTGTTATGATGGCCCATTTTGCCACACCGACCACAACGAATGCATGGCACGACCTCGTCTTTTGATGGAATCCTTTTACGTTTAGGCCTTCCTGGTGGTCGCTTCACCGTAGGTGGAGTAATTAAGTAGTCCGCCGCTAAGAAATTGTGTTTCCTGTTGTTGGAATTGGGTGAATAGTCCCGGAATAAGCTACCCGAAATTCTGTTACACGGTAAAATAGAACGATGTGGTCGTAAATGTTTTTTCCACTATTCCGGAAAGCCACGACCGCATGTGGGCATGGGAACCCATTCAGTTGCCATTGAAAACAAGAACATGTACGTGCACCGATGTCAACAAAAACCGATGGGTGTGATCGAACCTCAAACACATTCTCATTTGCTTGACTAACGATCCAAGATTTACTAGTTTTGAACGCCAACTCCAGAGTTGTTGCCATCTTCAAGCATAACTCCCCAAGCCATATGCTGTATTTAGCTTTACGCTTTGCCATTTGTTCCATGAGTTGACCCCGTATGGCATCCACCAACTATATGATGGGGAGATGACGAGCTGTGCGTATCCAATTGTTGAACGACTCCGCAGCGTTGGAACACATCTCACCATATCTGCAACCACTGCACAAGGGAAAGATAGGTCAAGTGTTAATCAAACAAACATTTATTTTTTAAATGTTGGAAATTACATTGACCGTACGATACCTGAAATATGCATTTGCCCAATGTTTCGGGTCCAAATCTTTTAAAAAATTGCCAACTACAACTGGGCTACACTGTTTTAATATTTCGATCTTGTGATTGAAGCACGAAATTGTAGGTGCATATGCGCATTCTCGTAACTTACGCATGAGGCCTATTTTTTGCTCCCTGCTAACATATTTCATTCGATCCCTCAAATTCATTTGAAGGTGTAACAAGCAAAATGCGTGATGGGATGATGGAAAAACAGTAGGCATAGCTTGAAGCAGACCAACGTTGCGGTCAGATATGAAGGTCAACGTCTTGCCCCCGTCTACAATTTTCGATAACTGCCACAAGAACCATTCCCAGTTACATGCATTTTCGGAATCAACAATGGCAAAAGCAACAGGAAGCAAACCTGACGAAATTGAATGTGAAAAAAATGCATGTTAGTTGAATCACAAAACAGACATCGTTACATGATATGAGACCAACGAAATATATTTTGTATACATACAAACAAAACACGCAAGAGTTGTATGAATTTGGTAAAACGATAAGAACATTTTTTTGATGTTTAATCCATACCTTGATTGCCATCCTTAGCGGTAGCCGCGAGCATATTGCCTTTAAACCTCCCCTTCAGAAATGTACCATCGAGAAACAAAAGTGGGCGACAATGATTGAATCCATAAATGCAGGCACGAAATGAAATAAAATAGCGTATGAACCTGCCAGTTTGTTGATCAAAATCCAGGTTGATGTAACTTCGTGGGTTGTTCTCAATAACAGCGTTACTATACCACCTAAGTTGGTTAAACGACATAGCATGGTCTCCATACACTTCACCCCTAGCTTTCTCAATGCCCAACCATGCAACCCGGTAACTAATGTCCAGTCTAAAGTCGTTTTTCATACCAAACACAACTTCCGTCGGGCGGGTGAGTGGCTGTTCACATACGCAATCCGCAATGACATTTGACACCAAATCGGACCCAGTACGCGGGTTCCTGTACGTGCGTACCGCAGCACCACATGAATGTAAATTTACAAACCTCTTCAAGCAAAACACCCCATTAGACGCCGACACCCTTGCGTGTACCAACCATGCACACCTAGTTGACGTGGCGAACTTGCACACAACTGTGATTCGCACCGAGTCGTTCTTGACATATTTAAATTGAAACCCACATTCGACAGCAAACTTGCATAAGACCGTTCAAAATTCATTAGCACCGGCCAAAAAAATTTGACCAACATGAGTAATACCATATGCCCATCCAACAGAACGAAATGTCTTGGAGTTGTGAGGACAGTATAATAGCAACAAATTGGTTCGATCTTCCATGCCACAGGTTAGCCCATCATCAATGTCAACCGCATCAATACTATTACAATCCGCAACCCCTTCTTCAATATTGGATCCACTACTTCGCGTCTGGATCAGCACATCAACATGATGAAGATCAAATGACTTCGCAAGGCATACCATGTTGTGAACATTGTCGTCACAATCAACCTTGAATTTATTGTACCTAGGGATGATGAACAAAAAAAACACCAATGCCGGCGATGAAATACCAAACTTCCTACAATCAACATCGATCAACCCAGCAAACGTAAAAGCATCATGAATACGAACAACCGCGTTAGTCTGTCCGTACGTGCATATCAGAAACAACACAGCCTCCATACCTGCATACAGAAACACATACAACATAAAGAACACCATTATTAGGAACTAGAAAAACAGCCCCACAAAGGAACCCCGTAAATGAGAGAAAACAAAACATCACCACACACACAACCCCACACTCGTAATGTGAACAACACAACCTCTCCAACAAGGAAATGAAACATTAATCAACAAAAATTGAATACAAAATTAAAGGACAATGGAAACTTACCACACAAAAAATCAAAGCATTTGAAACCTCACAAGAAAAACAACCCCATACACAAGGCCCATCAATGAGACAAAACAAAACCTCACTGCACACACAACCCCACGGCCGTAATGTTACCACCAGCACCCCTACCAAAAGGAACCCCATCAATGAGACAGAACAAAACATCACCCCACACACAAACCCACAACTGTAATGTTAACAACACCAACCATTCCCCAAGGAAACGAAACACTAATCAACAAAAATTGAATAGAAAATTAAAGGACAAGGAAAACTTACCACACAAAAAACCAGAGCAATTGAAACCTCTTACACGATGTTGGAACGGCAATGAAAATGACAAACCTAGAACTCCAGAGATTGAAAATAATCGAAACTACAGTCCTTTCAAATCAAAAAACACCAGACAACCATAATAACATCATCATCAACACCCACTAATTAGTCCAACAAAATCCCACAAAATTAGCACTGTATATAACATACCTTATCTCCACAAAGGCAACATCACCAAAAAAATTTAAAAAACATCACTTAAAAAGGCAATTAAGTAAACTCCAAAACCCAACACAATATACCAAAAATAAAAAGGACTAATTGAATTGCAAGAAAAGTTCTAGGACCAACGGCCTGTTTGGTAGAGCTGTGAGAAAGTGCTTATACCTTATGCCTTAACAGCTTATAGCTTATAACTATGAACATAAGCTGATTCCTGACTTATAAATTAAGCATCTCCTGTCCCACTAAAAGAATAAGTTAATTTCTGATTTACAAAAAGTTATAAGCTGCATTGTTAAGTTAAACCAAACACATTAAAATAACTTAAATTAAGCTAAAAATTGAAATAAACAGCTTTTAAGCTGCACCAAATGATACAACTTTCTCTCTAATAAAATTTATGAGTAATTTTTTTAAAAATAAAATAATTATAACCTAAATAAAATAATGTGCTAATATTTTAGTACATGCGAAGCAAGTACTTCGCCTTTCTTCGGAGCTGCACAGTAATTCAATATGTCCGAACACCCCATCAAAAAATATTTTATTTTGTTATTTCAATCGGATGGGCCATGGCATAATGGTAAGTCCCATTATTATATCATCATCATCGACCGTTGGAATATTTTTCTGCATTAACATCAAACGGTCATAAGTCCGCCACGTGGACAGAACCATCTACCATTCCAAAATTTGGATTTGCCGCGCTCAGGTCAACCCAATGTTAGGCTCGGAATTTGTCAGCTCAGGAACCCGAGGCTCGTAAAACTCCGAACCAAGTCCACACTACATAAACCGTCGAATCCGAACCTCACGCGATCCCGTGTTGGCTCTGGCTCTGGCTCTGGCTCTGGACAAGTCGCTTAATTACAGAGATTCCCCTAATCTCACGCCCCCACCATCGTCTCCCCCTTCCATTTCTCAGCCGTCCGATTACTACTCCCAGCTAGATCTTTGCCGGTGAATCAGACGGCCCCCATTTACTCCACTGTTCTATTCCCTTCGATCCACTGTTATATATATATATATATAGACTGTGTTGAATCTTCTAGCTTCATTTGGGTCAACAGAGCTCTACACTGATTTGCAGAGTATGTATGTCTTTTTTTCTTTCATCATCAATTCCTCTCTCTCTCTCTGTCTCTCTTTGAAGTGTTTTGTTTGTTTGTTATGTGAGAAAAGTGAAAGGAAAATGAGTTCTTGCTTGTAAAGAAAACACGTCTCTTGCGATTTTCTTTTAGTGTTGATGAAGTATCAAACATGTGACTTATAGATCGGTTTTGAATATACTTGAGTTTCTCTCTCTCTCTCTCTCTCTCTCTCTCTCTAAAACACTCTACTCTCGCTCTCTCTGTATTTGAAATTTTAAACTATAAAAGATCGTCAAAGGCTTTTATACTACTCAAAATTGCAAGTCTTTTCAAATTTTATTCGTCTTTATCGAGACTTCAATAATTGTTCAAATTGAATGCGCAACTACCATTCTCACACATGCTGAGAGAGAGATGTGGATAGCTTTGATTCCAAGTTCACAGACTGACTCGTTTTAGGGCTTGATGCAGTGTATATTGTGAAAATCAACACCCACCGTTGATTTAGATTACTTTGATTCCATCACTGATGTCTTGTACAGAGAGGCCATCGTCGTCGTCTTCATCGGGGAGAGAGATGGATCCGTTGCTGAAGGATCTGAGTGAGAAGCAGCAGAACTTCCGGCGGAACGTGGTGTCGCTGGCATCGGAGCTCAAGGAGGTCCGTGACCGTCTTGCTTCTCAGGAACAGTCATTTGCTCGCGAAACCCTAACAAGGCAGGCATGTGATTTGTTTGGGAAATGAAATCATTTCAAGTTTTTGTTATATAGAGAGGTGGTGGTGTTTGTGGGACCATTTGATTTTGTGCATTGTTTGTTTAAGTTTGGTCATAATTGGTGTTTTTTTTTTTTGAAATTTTCTTTTTTTATGCAGGAGGCAGAGATCAGAGCGAAAAATATGGAGGAGGATATATGGAGGTTGCAGAACAATTTAGAGGAGAGAAATGGGCAGCTTCAAGCATCAGCATCTGCTGCTGAGAAGGTACTGCTTCACTTGTATATTAGATATAGCTTCTTTGAATCTCTTGATATCTGTGAAATTTTTGTTGGATCATTTGAAATTGCAGCTTATTTTCATGGCGTTGAGGTTTAAGGCTAGTTTGATTGATTTGAATGTCTCTGTCATCTTGGTGTTTAAGGCTTTAACTTATCAAAACATCCTCATCTTTTTGGGCTACTTTTTGGCTTTCCTTGTTTGTTTGTTTGTTTGTTTGGGTAGAGTGGGAATAGCATTCTCGTATCATGACAATAAATTATTGTTTCACTTTGTAGTTTGAATGGTTCAAGAAATTTGTCTTTATTTATTAAGGCTGATAAAAGGGGAAACCTTATAAAAATTCAAAAATCAAACCATTTGCAGCTGGCCGTAGTTTTTTTAGTGGTTAGGTACTTGGTGACATTTACTTCTATAGTATTCTATAGAATTATATGTATTGCACCTTTTTTTTTTTGGTTTTTCTTTTTTTAATTATTTTCTTATATGTAGTGCAATTATATGCACTGCAATTTATTTATTAAGTATTTATTTTTTTTGTAATGTAGAACTAATGTCATTTGTTGGGAAGAAAATGATGTCATTTTAGGTGGCGTCATTCATTCTTTACACAAAGCTGGGTTCACAATTACTTGACTGTTCCCATGGAGAGCCATAGTCGTAAAAACCATTCTTCGCTGGTATGGCCTAAATACTTTACTCTCAACAAAATGGTATGGAGGATATCAAATTTTGTGTCGGGTAAATTTTTTGCTATGTTCCAGACAATTTTGGGTGTGCTGAGATATTTTTAGAATCATACTGGCAAGGCAGTCCATGCTTGTTGTGCTTGTGCATGTTTTCTGTTGAATCCCATTTGTACAATCCTTCACCAACAAACCTTGCCATCCACATTGGTTGCCAAATTCAACCACTGAAATCCTTTTCCCTCTCCATGTAACTCTTGATGTAGCTTGTGCTTGCTATCCAAATTGACCAATTTCATTTTGAGTGATTTTTTGATTGTTCTGGATAATTTTGGGCCTTTTGGGGTATTTCATGCAATTTTGGGTCATTCTAGCTTTTTGTTTGGCACATTAAGAGCAGTCCATTTTGCTGACAAATTTGATTCTCACAATCGTTCACCAACAAACCTTGTTGATGTTGTCCATGCTCGTTGCCAAATCCAACCGCTGGAATCCTCTCCCTTCTATATCCTGACTGATCAATTGCATGGCTGGTTAGAAATAAACCAATTATGTGAAGCTGGCTAGAATTAGGGATGTGCACAGGTCAGTTTGGGAGAAATATTTTCAACCGAGCCTTTTTGGCGGGTTTACTATTTTTTCAGCCTCCATCTTACTAGAAAAGTTGGGCACAGAACAAACACACATAGGAACTAGGAAGAGAGAAAGAGGACATGGGCACATAACAAACACAGACAGAGACAACAGGGGCTGAAAACAAACACACACAAAGGGAAAGGCTTTAAAAGGTGTCTTGGGTCTCCCTTTTGCATGTCACTCGCATTGTGAGTAGTAAGTGAGAGCATGGGTGTTGGGCACCCTCTAGTTTTGTGACGGCTTGTCTTATTCTATGTGCTGTAGTGAGGCACTAGACTTGCCAAAAACATAGTGAGGCATTGGCTGTCTATGAGAAAGGTGTTGGGCACCAATTTGTTTGAATTCTGCTAAATGGTTTATGTTCTGTATCCCTTCATCATAGATGTCAATTAGTTGTAATGTAAATTTATTAGACAATGAGTACGTTTTCAAGCCTTTTTGGATATATACTAGTGTTGGATAACATATTTATACTAAGATAAAATGGTTGGGTGTTGAGCAATATCTGATGTGTGTATGACTATGACATGTTATGTAAATCAAATTTTATTATTATGTTTTGAAAAATATATAATATTTATAGTGAAATCAGAAACTATACAGTGTACATACATACGATGGAAAAAATGGTACTATGGCTGTTATGTTAGTGGTTGTTTACTGAGCTACAACTAGATGTCCTTCAAATATGTGATTTTTCTTTGGTTTATCCTTAATTAGTGAAAGCATATTTTGTGTTGTATATAGGCTTTTGGATTACTTCAGTGACAATTAGAGCCATGTTAGTTCTGCTTCCTTTTTGTTACAAGGGGATTGCTAACATTCTAAATGAAAATTGGTACTGACATTGTACTGAATAACCAACCTTTTGGGGGTATCCTTTCCATGTAAATATTTGCCCCAAGAGCTATGGTGTTCGTGATGTGTTCTAAAGGGTTGTCCTCTTCTTGACTTGGGTTTTAAGACAACAAATATTTCCAAATAATAGTGGAAGGGCAATAAATCTGAAATGAGAATTTTTAAGCTTGAACTTCACTTCGTCTATCACTTGTTGCTTTTTTCCTAAAGCTACTTGTTGCAATGCAAATGTCATCTTCAACTCTATACATAGAAGTACCATTACTCCATTACCTGAAATAAGAATTTTTATGCATGAACTTCAGTTCGTCTATCATTTGTTACTTTCTTCCTATGCTACTTGTTTCAATGCAAATGCCATCTTTGACTCTATCTATAGAAGTACCACTTACTCAATTATGTTAACTATGTTCAACTTAATGTGAAGTTAGAAAGGTTAGCAGTTTTAACAGCATTCTAAACAAATTAGCATTCCTATCTTCTTTTAAACAGAAACACACGAATTTTCATATTCAAGACCTTTTGTAGTGTACCTTATAAAGAAAGACATGGTACAGTTGCATTCACAATTCTATCACTGCGGCGAAGTAGTGTATGTATACAATCAATTTAAAAATCCTTTTTTTCCAAGTTTTCCAACATAGCACAATGAATAAGATCAAAACATGTGGAGGTTAATCAACTTGACAAATATAGAGAATGTAAGGGATTGGGCATGGTGAGCTTAATGAAAGCAAAAACTTATTTTTAGATTAAATAAAGATCGGATCAGAACTATATTCAATATATAATTAACTATAATGTATGTGTTGTTTGACATTAATGCATTTTGTCTATGTTTTTATGCATTCCAATATCTAATATTTTCAAGATTAATCTTAAATTATCATTAATCAGTATATGTTTTGTAAGCCATTGTTCTAGTTGATTCCTTTTAGAAATATTGAGCATAGCAGTTCTTGGTTTTTAAAAGATAGTTATTCAGTATCCAGTAAAGTTACTGCAATCAAAGCATAATTTTTCCAGCATTCCTTTTATTTTATTTTATTTTATTTAAAGTCAATTTAACGCCAGAAAAATTCCCTTTGAAAGTAAATACAAAAGGATCCTTTACACTTTGTTCATCTGATAAATAACTTCAACTTGGTGTAAAATGCTTCCAATAGAATGATCTGCTTACTGAATGTTTATTTTACTAAGCATAATAAAAAATGACATGACCTCAACATTTATAGTCCTGAATGTAATTTCTTAATGACATGCAGTACCTCAAGGAGCTGGATGATATGAGATCACAGCTTTCAGCTACTCAAGCAACTGCAGATGCAAGTGCTGCATCAGCTCAATCTGCGCAACTCCAGTGCTTGGCACTGTTGAAAGAATTAGATGAAAAAAATAACTCATTAAAAGAGCATGAGGTTCGTGTAAATTTGCTGGGAGAGCAATTGGATCTTCTGCAGAAAGATCTTCAAGTGAGGGAATCTTCCCAAAAGCAACTGAAAGATGAAGTTTCAAGATTTGAGCATGATATCATGCAAGCACTAGCCAAAGCCGGAGCAAGCAAAGATTGTGAACTGAGGAAACTGTTAGATGAGGTTTCTCCAAACAATTTTGAAAAAATTAATAAGCTTTTGACTTTGCAGGATGAAGAAATAGCCAAGCTTAGGGATGAAATAAGGATTATGTCTGCTCACTGGAAGCTCAAAACAAAGGATTTGGAATCACAGGTTTGTGTTTTTTGGTTGCTTATTTATTTAAACTGACTCCAAATTTTGGTTTTATTCATTTTTTAATGTACGTGGTTCTGGTGTGCTCATGAGCTTTTCATCTGATGTAACAGTTGGAGAAGCATAGGAGAGCTGATCAAGAATTGAAAAAGAGGGTATTAAAGTTGGAGTTCTGTCTCCAGGAAGCTCGTGCTCAGACACGAAAGCTCCAAAGGGTAATTATTGTATTTATTTACTCCTAGCTAAAGTTGAATGCCCATTCTTTTATGCTTCGGAGGTATTCATTCGCTTGTTATTGGTCCAATAAATTCAGTTTGCAGAAGTTTCCGTTTTGATTGTATACCTCCTTAGCAAGATTTATGTTGTATGCGGTAGATGGTCCACACCAAATAATGTGCTAGTGTCCCTGTAGTAGAATTGCCAAAACTGCCATGGGTGGGCATCTATATTCTTGCTTGCACAAATTTTGGTCCCCATTTATCGAACTAAATGGTCCACAAGCTCATGGTGGACAAGTGACCAATAATCTGTACTCTATGCTAAAACTGCCATGGCTCAGATTACTACCTTTTTTTTTCCCTAAAAAATTTTCCCATTGTTTTTTAATTAAAAAGAAGGGGGAAAAAAAAAAGGACTCCTGAAGGGTCCACCCATGTGAGGAGTGGATTTAACAGTCTCCATCATAAATTTGAGAGGGGCTAGGTAGCACTTAAAAACTTCATATATTAAATAGTAAACCAACTGCCTTACGAGAGAGAACTCTGTACATTTACTTTTATTGCATCATGGTCCTTATCAGACGTTCTACTCCGCTCAACAAATGTTTATTGCCTCTTTTTATTCGCTGTGACAGACGGGTGAGAGGCGGGACAAAGCTCTGAAAGAACTCAGGGATCAGCTAGCTACAAAGCAAGAGGGTGGAGCTCCTGGCATCCAAAAACGGAATATTTGGGAAACCTCTGGTTTCAAGATCGTGGTTTCCGTGTCGATGTTGATCTTAGTCTTGGTGTCAAAGCAGTAAAGCTATTGTCTTATTTAGTTCTAGTTGTATAAAAAGTAAAACATCGGTACCTCAGAAATCAACTCAAGGAGAATAGAGAGCTGTAGATGCTATTTTATTTGTAGAAATTGTAGTAAGAGAGGATCTTTTCCTTTTTCACAAATCACAGTTTTATTAGGGTAGGTGAGACCCCTCCTTTTGTTGGTCCAATTATTGAATTACATTTGCAGTAGTTGGCCTAGTATGCTCTACAAATTTGAATGGTTGCATAGTATGTTTAAGCTGAGTTTTTGTTTAATCATGTATGTTGTTGATGGTTTATGAGCTGCTTAGCATGATAATGACATGCTTACCTTGCAATTTTCTTTGCTGTGGAAAGTCTTCATTAAGGTATCTTTTTTTGCGTGTGGATGGCTTGGGCTCACCTTCATCATCCTAATTTTATAATGGCAGTAGGCCCAATTTATGTGCTTTTATTCCTGCAGTGCCTATTGCCAAGGGAATCTCTCATCTCTATGGATCATAAATCTGCGGATACGTGAAAATGAAGTGGTTCAATTTGGCTTTTACAAATGACCTAAGGGCCTTGTTTGGTACAGCTTATAGGAGCTAATTATTATTATTTAAAATTTGTGTTAGATTGTTTGACATAGTTTTTGCTTACAATTTATGATGTAAAAATAACTTAAATAAGTTGAAAAATATTGATTATTGGGAAGTTTGAGGGAGGGTGTTTTTAGTTTTTTACTATTTGATTATTAGTTTTTAACTTGCAATAAGTTGTAACAAATAAGCCTGGTAGTTGGTTGCCTAGTCGAGTGGTGATTGGGTGTGGGCGTTTAATGCGGTGCTCATCTCTAGGTTGAGAGTTTGATTCTTGGCCATCAAAGAAAAAAACAAAAGAAAAGCATTTTACAGACATGAAATAATTGAAAATTTGAAAAGTGAAAAGCTTGGTTTTAAGGATGAGCATAATTACACCTGTTTCAGAAGCTATGTAAAATTAGATATGAAATGATTAAAGCTTTGGTGGGTGTTAATTTTGCTTTTTAAAAACTTGGTGATTGTTTCTGACTAGTAGTTGTTGTACCTTGCTTTTTATTCATCATTAGGGCATTGCATTTCAAAAATCTATCATACAAGATGAAGACCACAATAAAAAAAGCAGTATGATTGGTGGAATGAAATCTTTCAAAGTACATTTAAAATGACTAAATCTCAAGTTTTTGTTTTTTCTTGTTTTGTTTTTAAATGAATGGCTTACCAATTTTTATGACCCTGTTTTTACCGTGGCAAAATCATACATTCCAAAGTCGCTCATAACAGAAAAAATATGAACACACTATTTTTAGTAACATGCATATATATATAAATAAGCTCAACATGAACTGCACTACACGTTATACTGTGTAATGTACACAGTTCACTACTCTCTGCAATTCAAACATTCACATCTCAGGAAAGCTCTTGCTGACTAGTGAGTACTTTTCCACAATCTAGGAATTCAGATTTTAGCCTTCATGAACGCACTCACTCACTACCTTATTCTTTTCCTGCGAGGATCGATTTGTACATGATCTGGAAAAGCCTAAACTCGGAATTTCTGGAGCTATGAAGCTTCTAATCTATTGATTTCCATGGATAAGTTATGGCTCTAACATGTCTAGAATGAATCTTCCCGCAACTATGGATGTTATTAAGATGATATAACCCGTGAAGGGTTGCAAGCCAATTGCCATGGATGTTGAGGAGTTAAAAGTCGGAGGGCTTTCACCAAAAACTGTTGTGCTACCCGATGCAGGGTTGCTCATGTTTAACACTGCCGGAGGAGAACCATAGCTGCAGATAAAGTTTAGGGGAAAAAAAAAAAAAACAAAGGATAAAAAGCAAGTGTTACTTGTTGAGAACAGGGAAAAAAGAAGCACAAAGAAAGTTTGAATGGAGTAGACACTATACCCAGGTGTTGTTGCCCCTGATGATGATGTTGTCGATGGTGTAGGAGTCATTGGCGTTGTTGGTGTCGGAATAGTTGGTGTTGTTGGTGTAGTAGTCGTTGGCGTAGTTGGCGTCAGAGTAGTTGGCGTTGTTGGTGTAGGAGTAGTTGATGGTGTTGCTGTTGTTGGTGATGAAGTTGGAGATGATGATGATGGGTAAATGCATGTACCAGAGCCTGCAAATGTTTCAGTAGGAGATATGAGATGATTTTCATGAATTGTAAAACAGATACTAGGTGTCGTTTGTTAATGTTGGCAGTTTCTTGTTTTCTTTTTACACAAAAACAGAAACAAGTTTTTTGACACCACCCTTTTTTCTATTTGAAAATTTTTGGAATTAATTCTATTTTTTTAAAATGAAAATAACATTCCAAACAAATTTTCATTCTGAATTTTCAAATAAAAGAAAAACAGAAAATGAAAACATTAACAAACAAGGCTTGGTTTGGTTTGGTTATACTATTTTCATTTTTCAAAAAACACAGATCATGCTCTTACTTGGATTGTTGTTAGTTATCATGGCAGTTCCTCCAAAGTCACAACTAGTTTGAACCGGTTTCTTCTGATAATAACTGTTGAAGGCATATGACGCGTGGTTCTGAAGCGTAACAGGATTGTAACAACTCGCTCCTTCCTGAATAGCTGAACAATCCGCACCTCCAATCCCACACGCATAATCGAGCGCCACCTGAAGTGCAGTCTCCGACACTCCACTCTTTGCCACGCACCAGTTCTGCCCTGAAACAGTAGGAGCACCTGTGGTTGCAGGAGGTGCCACTGGATTTGTGACAGGTGTTGTGACAGGAACACCTGTTGATGGAGCCGGATAAGTTGTTACAGGGTTTGTTATCGGTTGTGCCCCTGGAACTGTGCCAGGTGTTGTTACCGGATTGGTGATTGGCACTGGTGGTGAATTCACAGGATTTGTGCTGGAGGGCACGGGGACAGGCGTGGTGGAGGGAACTGTCACAGGAGTGGCAGTAGGATCGGGATTTACAGTGACCGGATTAGTAGAGGGGATGGTGACGATTGTTGGTGTGGGGTTATTGTTTGGAGAGACGGTAACTGGTGTTGCTGGTGGGTATATAGTGTCGTGTTGAGTTGTTTTACTGTGTGAAATGTCCAGGAGTTCTCTATGAGAATTACCAAGCACCTGCTCTTTCTTTTCAAGTTCTTTTGGTAGAGACACTTCTGCAAACAACCCGGTTATCTCTCCTATCCCTTGAGTGCTATCGGTGAATTCAGACACTTTAATGGCACCGGGAACAGCAGAGCTCTTGATTTTTAAGACTATAGAAACATCACTACAAACCGATGTAGCTCGTTTCATCAGAGACTCAATAAACCTGTCATTCATGCTCAATTCACCATCAACCGTGGCTTCCACAACGACAAAAGACCTAATTTTCTTGATAAAATTCAACACTTTATTCAAATCTCTCTTTTGTTGTCTGTTCAAGTTCTCTAAAAATGACAGTGAAAATGACAGTGAGGCCTTTACTTCTGAATGGATCGATTTCAAGGTTGATAGAAGCATAGGAATGTCATTTTTTCCCCGTGACTCATCTCTGCTTCCACTTACTACTATGCTCTTGATGTTCACATGTGGAAGGAAGGTTGCCAAAAGGGTTTTAAAGCGCGATACTGTGTGAGGTTCGGAATTTCTCAAATTCTCGAGTAGGGTTTGATTCAAGTAAAGATCAACCAACACACCAGTGTTGGAAAGACTATTTAAAGCTCGATGATCTGCAATGAAAACCCTAACCTGAGATGGGTAGACCTTGGGGTATGATACTGTTTCTGTTGGTGATGAAATGGCATTGAGTTTCTTTGCATCATAAAAGAAGCCAACTACAGTGCCTGTTTGGAAGAAATAGAAAATGGAATATATATGAATTAGAATTTCAAGGTTCTTATATACATCATTATAAAAAATAAAAAATAAAAAATAAAAATAAAAACTGTCTATGCAACTTCACACACACACTGAGAATGTGCTTGTAATTGGTTATGAGATCAAATTCTTGAACATGAAGAATGTTAAGATATTCTAAGTGTAGGTACCTGAAGAGCAGACAGTGAAAACAAAGAGGAGACACAAGAAGAGGTAGTTGGAAGCTCCTTGAGCCATCATAACTAGAAATGTTTGTGGGTATAGGAAGAGAAGACTTTACTAGATTTTGAATGTGAATTATGCAATGAAATCTTTGAAAGACAAATGCATACTGAGTTAGAAAAGGAGCCTATGTGAGATAGAGAGAGAGAGAGAGAGAGAGAGTTGAAGATAAAGGTGAGAGGAGAAGAAAGGGGGGAAAAGCAAAAGGGCAGATGAATATGTTGCAATGACAAAGAAAAGTTGTTACTTTGACATGGAGGTTGGAAAATGTTCTTCCTCTCAACAGTGGAAAGAATCATCTATCCTTTCTTTTTTTCTTTTTTTTTTTTCCAAATTCCTTTTTCTTTTCAAAAAAATAAAGAAGCTGAAATTTAAAGCAGTACTCTACAGGTGGCAAATCACATGGATATATATACATGTACAAAACAAAAACACAAAAACAGGCTACGTATGGTGATTGGGAATTTTTTTTTTTTGATTGCGGTGGAAGATACATTTTATAATTATATTAAAAAATATAGAACTAATTATATTTTTTTCAAATCTCAAAGGTGAGTGTAATTTATCCTTAAGTTTTTTCACTGAAAGGTAAACCTTAATTACATTGTTAATGTGATGAGAAGACACACAAACTTTGTCTTTTGATTCTTGGCCTTGCTAAAACTTTATGGAAGGAAATAGACAAAACTAGTATATCAAAGTATGATTCCTGTTGAATGTAGGTTCCCAAGGAAATCAGACATACTTATCTTTTTAGTTATGTTTAATTTTTAATAAATTTGTGAGATAATTATCACGTCACCATTCAATTCTGATTAATCCAGTAATTGAATCAATGACCCTTAACCTGGTCACTTTTTCGATATGCTCAACGGTTTGAGCTTCACAATATTGATTTGTTTACTAAATTTTCTCAAGATTGTGACTAGATCATGAATTTATTGAGAGAAAAAGGAGAATGAAAAGTGAAATGGAATTACTTGTATTATATATGCTCTTTTTCATATCTAGCTAAACAAAAAGGAGAGATGTTTTTGACAAATATATATTCATTTTCTTCTCATTTTTCTTACTCAACCCAAAAAGAGAAATATATTTAAGTTGTGTTTGAATGAAGAATTTGAGGAGGAATTTGTGACATGAAAGAAAAATGGATGGAAAAAGTATATGAAATAAAAGTTAATTTGTTTCACTTTTCCCTTCCATTTTCTTTTCCTTCCACAAATCCACAGCCTTAGTTTATGCTTCATTTTCTTTTCTCCCATAAATCTCTCCACAAATCTCAAATCCAAACACATTCTATGTAAGGTTCATACTATGATGATCCAAACAAAAATTAATGAGTAGGACCATAAAGGACAAAGCACATAGACAATGAGATATATTAGTCAATTTGCTATTGTGGGGATATATTTTTGAGTACCGACACGTGGCAAGGTGACGCCGACGTGTCAGCCGAGGTGGCACGTGTCAGGGTCATGACACCGATGTGATCTCAGGTAAGCCGAGATTATCTCCGAAGATATCGGAATCCGAGATAAGCGGATAAAGGATAAGGGACAAGAGTCCTAGAATAAAGAGGAGACTTAGCCAAGATAAGGATAAAGCTCTTAAGGAGTTTATCTTTATCTCTTGAGGAGTCCAGAGTAAGTACTGAATAGGAATCCATAGAAGTCAGGCTTCTATTGGGATTAGGATTAAGGTAACTATAAAAGAAAGGCACCCCCATGGGTCTAAGGTACGCAATTTTATGCTTTTGATACTCAAGCTTGTGAATATAGCACTTGATTTATCTTTGAGAGATATATTGACTTGATCGTCGGAGTGCCCCCGGGTGGACGAACCACCGCCGGAATCTTCTCTTTCTGTTGCAGGTCAGCCAGGTGCCATCTATTCTGCCGATGCTCTCCAGCTGGTTACTAAACGAGCAGTGCGGTCAGAAAATCACCCACACAATTTGGCGTCGTCTGTGGGAAATTAGAAGAATAGATGGCCAGTAACGGACAGAAGGAAAAGATTGGAGACGACACTCCTACTGGGAGTGGCAGACCTATTGACCTTGATATCGAAGGAGACAACCACAATGCAGAAACTCGTGACCAGGGCCACGGAGAGAAAGACGTCAGCCAAGAGGGCGACACTTCGAAGAAGACAAACCAAAGCAAGTACTATAACGAAGATAACCTCAAAGTATGGAGGGATAGGTGCCTGAGGAGGGATGAAGAAGTAAAAGAATTGGCAAACAAGTTGGCAGACCTGCAGTCGGTCGTCAACTTCATGATGCAAAACAATGTCATGCAGCCACTGTACCCGCTGCAGGACACGCCGATTCCAGCAACTAATGCCTAGAAGGGAGGAAGGAAAACAATCCCCGAAGCCCCTCAGCACACCAGGAGCGGAAGGCACTCTCACCAACCTTCCAAGGAAGTCGGACGAGAGGAGCCGAGACGAGAGGAGTCCCGAAAGACGTATCGCACGAAGGACCCAGAGCCCAAAGAACATCGGCATGTTCAAGGGCAGACGCTCTGCTTTGACACAACCCATAGTGAAAGATCAAAACGGGCCCACCATGAGGCCGAAAATAGCATGCCGAAAAGATTGAAGTCCAAAGATAGCCGAGCTCCAGGGAGGAGTAAAGAAGACTTGAGAGATTACCTCAAGAGGAAGCAACAGAATGCTGAAGCCGAGGTAACTTCCCCGGTTAAGCCGAGGACACCATTCTCGGTGGAACTGGACAAATTTGAAGCACCAAAGAGATTCAGTATGCCGAGGTTCCAAATACATGATAGTAAGTCAGATCCCAACTTTCACGTTGGACTATACCTGAATTCAATGGCATTATATAGTGGGAACGAACCGTTGCTTTGCAAAGTATTCCCCTCATCCTTCGGGGAGATTGCATCAGATTGGTTCCATAAACTACCAAAGGGAAGCGTAAAGACTTGGGAAGGCCTGATCGAGATGTTTGTGGCCAGGTTTGTGACGAACAAACTACAGCCCTTGAGGGTCGGCGCACTGATGGCTTTAAAAATCACCAAGGATGAAGGCCTTAGGACCTACGCAAAAAATGTACTACGAGGTGTTCAATCGAATACCCAAATGCAGCCAAGAGGTGGCGGTCGTGTCTTTCAAGAACGGCTTGAAAGATGATTGCCCACTATGGAAGTCTTTGGCAAAGACATTGCCAAAAAGTATGGAAAAACTCATGGCGAGAATCGAGAAGTATGCCAGAGCCGAGGAGGATACGTCAGGAAACAAAGAGACAAAGCAGGAGAAAGGAAAATGCTCGCCGAAGCGAAGTCGAGGTAACAATGGATCGATCAAACAAGAAACGGAATTGAGGGCTAAACAGGCAGTGACGACTATGTTCCGAATCCCGGTCCACAAAGTCCTGGATCAAATACGAAACCAACCCTATTTCAGAGCCCCGACAAGAACACCAGGGGAATTTATGGGAAGAAACATCGGTAGGCTTTGTGCTTACCACAATAAAGAAGGGCACCCAACTCAGGGTTGCAGAGCCCTAAAAGCACACTTAGAAGACTTGGTGAGGTAAGGCCATCTGAGGGACCTTGTCGATGAGGCCAGGACAAGGGAAGAACATGCAAGATTGCCTTAAGCATCAGTAGCTCCTCCTCCCCCAGCACAGCAACCACAGGTAGGAGGACCACGGGTGATTAATGTAATTCACTCCAAGGTGAACGAAAACGACATACGAGGGGAGACCCAGAAGGTAAAACACCTACAGTACGTGAACCAGGTCGGACATAAAAGACCTTGGCCTGAAGAATGCCAGGGACCGACGATAGCCTTTACTGAAGCCGACCTAGAGATGGTCCAGCATCCACATAATGATGCCTTGGTAGTATCCCTCCAGGTTGGGGAGTGCCAAGTGAAACGCATCCTGATTGATCAAGGCAGCTCTTGCGACATCATGTATGTTAGATGTTACAAGGAGCTGGGCCTTCATCATGATGACTTGGAGCAGTCCAATGGCCCGATGGTCGGCTTCAATGGAACGCCGACGTGGCCACTGGGCGCAACAAGCTTGGAGGTGCAGGCTGGCACCAGAAAAATCAAGACAGAATTCACCATCATCGACACACCTTCTCCTTACAACATCATCTTGTGAAGGCCATGGTTGCATGCAATGGGGGCAGTTCCCTCAACATTGCATCAACTATTGCGATTCCCAACAGAGCATGGGATAGAGGAAGTTAGAGGCGATCAGCTACAGGCGAAGAATTGCTCCATGGCAGCAATGAAATCTACCTGCAGCGTGCGAGAGCCAGAGAAGGCAGGAATTGAAGATGAGGACGTGGAAGTCCTAGAAGACGTCGACAAAGAACCAGTCGAGAAGAGCGAAGAGGCACTAAAGAAAATCCTTGTCCAGGATGGGGATGAAGAACGCTTTTTTTTTCTTGGCTCGGGCTTAGCCGAAGAAGAGGAAAAAGAGTTGGAAACTTTTTTGAGAGCAAATATTGAGGTGTTCGCTTGGACGCCTTACGAAATGCCTGGCATTGACCCTGAGGTCACTTGCCACAAACTGAATGTTGACAGGTCAGCCAAACCTGTAATTCAGCGAGCCAGAAGACCGACGTTGATACACGTCGAAGTAGTAGAAGAAGAAGTAGACAGACTTCTGGAGGCCAGGGCCATTAGAGAAGTACACTACCCAACATAGCTATACAATACAGTGGTGGTAAAGAAGAAGAACGGTAAATGGAGGGTCTGCGTAGACTTTACCAGCCTCAACAAAACCTGTCCCAAAAACAGCTTTCCCCTGCCCAAAATTGACCAGTTAGTAGATGCCACTTCAGGGCATGGAAGAATGAGTTTTCTAGACGCCTACAGGGGGTACCACCAGATCGCCATGTACCCCCCAGACGAAGAAAAAACCGCATTCATCACTCCAAAAGGCCTGTACTGTTACAGAGTAATGTCTTTCGGGTTGAAAAACGCAGGAGCAACTTACCAAAGGCTGGTAACCAAAATGTTCAAACACCTGATTGGCCGAACAGTAGAAGTCTACATCGACGACATGGTCGTTAAGATCAAGGAGCCTGAGGGTCATCTCGCCGATCTAAAAGCAGTCTTTGAAATCCTTAAAACATATCGGCTCCGACTCATTGCATCGAAGTGTGCATTTGGAGTTGGATCTGGTAAATTTTTAGAATACCTGGTAACTAGAAGGGGCATCGAGGCC